GAATTCTGATAAGTAAGATTCAGGTTACTGGATTAGGTAGCTGTAGCTACACAAACTTGGGAATTCTTGGTTTTGAAATACAAACTTTGCTGTGTATCTCTAAAACTGCATCCTTCTCCTGGATATGAGTCAGCCTTAGTACATTTGATTTATTAGTCAGAGCGACAATGGGACTTCCGCCCAGGCAAGAATATCAAAGTATGCTTTTAAACTGTCCCCTTTTTTTATAATTAATATGTATTACTTTTTTCAGGATCTCCCACAGCAATTCTACTCTCAGAGTTGAGTGATTGCATCTTGAACTGTGGGCAGCTGATGAGGTCATATAATCTGGAGTCTTCCTTCAGGTAATTAATATAATAAATATGATATGATACAATATGTGATGTACTACATACACATTTTTTTCTTAATATGTCTAGGGTTTTAATAATCTTCTTTCTTATTATTTTGTTGGCTCCTTTCTAATATATATTTTTTGTTTATCTCAAACCAAGAAAATCTGTTTCCATATTTCATGATGATTCCTTAGAACTTCAGAGAAATTAGAAATTTCTACTACAGTTTGACCCAATACATAGCACAGATACAGCTGCTTTCCGTGTACAGGGAATACAGAGATTTGACCATGGCTGGTGCTGTCACTCAATGCTACCATGATATGAGAGCCCGTCACCGTGCCCGTGCTCACTCTATTCAGATTATGAAGGTTGAGGAAATTGCTGCCAGCAAGTGCTGCAGGCCAGCTGTCAAGCATTCCATGATTCTGTGTATTTTGCTCCCACTGATCACTGTAAGTGGATTTCTCAATGTATGGATTACTTGAAATGTACATATTCTGGCACTGGAAGTTAAAAACCAGTACCCTTGTTTAACCCCTTCTGAAACAACCTTGAGAAACAAACCTTAGGTAAAAGTCACATAATATTACTGAAATTGGTTTACTAGGACATGTATTCACTGAAGATTTATGTTGACAAATGGAATTTCTGTAGCATTTTCCACTTGCATCCAGACAGCTTCACTTTGAGGGCTGCACCCTGTCTACTGCAATTGACTCCAGGGATAGCATAAAGATACTGTTCTCAATGCTCTTTTTTGCACAGAAGAATGCAGGGCAGTGTCAGCGCTCCACCCCACAGAAATGCAGTTTTGTTCCTTCCTTAAATACTGATTTTCCTTCAAAACAGAACAGACTCAGTTAACTACCTTATTTGTGGAAATAAAAGGTGCTTTTTTTCCACTTAAATGCACTTAAAAAGCATTTTAGACTGTTACATGCATCCAGTTCAGTCTTTCCATTGAACTTATTCCTCTCTGCAACTAAAGCAGCCTGTCAGGTACCACATTTTTTTCAGGATAAAGAATACTAGGAAGAATAACTTAAAAGAGTCTTTAAGGAAGAAAAGGAAAGAAAAAGACAAACCATGACTCAAGGTAATATTTTCCATGGAACCTGGGAGGTGAAGAAAGTCAGCTGCCTGTGGTAAAGATAAGAAAGAAGCCCTTATATTTTAAGGTTTGAAGTTAGAACAGGTTTGTTTTGTTTGTTTGTTTGTTTGTTTTACCAAGGAAAAACATGGATTTCCACTAAAAACATTCCTCCTGCAGATACACAGACGAGTGTCTAAAAACTAGTATTTTCAGTGTTTAACAAAAAGATTGAATTTACTTCAGGGGAATCAGTACTTAATATCTGTATCTAATGCTCCGGTGACAGAAAATATCTGTGAAAACCTTTAATCTACTCTGCTCAGCACAAAAAAACAAGACTGCTACACTGTCTGGAGAGAGGTCTTCACACTATGCTGAATACAACAACTCCTCAGAAGCCTAAATGGTATCTCAGAGTATTTTTCTGCCTTAGGTTGTCAGGAAACCTACTATTATGCTTGTGTCTTTGTCACATTAACCAGGTAAGACACAGAGAGAAGAATACTTTGAAAATCATAAGTTCAGAATAATGACGAAACAACCTGGATGCTTGGTGCAAAGTACCATTTTTTCTCAATCCCAAACACACAGATGCATTAAGAATCATGTTTCATGTGAGACTTTCTGCCGCAACCTGAGCTCACCATTCTTCACCAGTGCTATTTGATTCCTGGCCTGTGATGTGCTGCTCTGCCACCCACCAGCCTCTTTATTTCTGAGAAGGAATAAAGTGCAGAGACTGCATAGTCCAAGACCAAAATGATTTTCCTACCTACATGAAATTGATTATTTGAAACAGGCCCACATGAAGCATATTTACAGCAAACAAAACATTATTTCAATGTGCCATCTGTACTTTTCCAAAATGAAGAAGTTTGTCTAAACTAAGTGTTGCTTAAGGAGTGCTTAAGAGGCCATCCAGCACTCAACCTGGCTGGGTCACACCTATCCTGAGTACCACGGGGCTGCTGAACTTATCATGCACTTTGACTCATATTTAAGAGAGATGAGTTTTTTCCACTGGCATTAAAAGGAAGCTATGAATGACCCATGCCTTAGATGGCTAAGACCATTACATATTTAATTGTGACCACATAGCTATCTAAAGTGAGGCTGCATATTCTAAAATCAAAACTTAGACATGGGAGGCCTTAGGTTCTACTTACCTCCCTATATGAGTTAATACCAAATGTGAGAAAAGGAATTTCCACAGGCTGGAAATTGCCTTTCCAATTTCGATGTTAATGTCTTAAGGCTGTGCTTTGCATGTTACAGACTTTGTATGTTGTCTTGTCCATGGGAGCACTAACATTCAGTAACAAAGCTTATTTTTGCAATTCCATTCCTCACAAGTTATTTTTTTGTTTTGAAAATGAAAATGATACTACTCAAACAGGCCTATTGTGCACTTAAAATGTTTTGAAAAGCTTCTATAGTTTTACAGAAAAACATAAAACCTCTCCCCCTGTATTAAAAGGAATTAACAGATCCACAGTTTCTATTTTAAGCTGGGAAAGAACATAATCATCACTGATTTTTATTTAATATAAGGCATTAATATGTTACCTCATATTTCCATGTTCACATGAAAGCGTGGCCTTTTTATAAAGGACATCTAATATTCTGCTAGGATTAATTACAGCCCCTTCTGTATCACATGTCCAGATAACTCATGGACATCAGATGCTCATACTGCCTTACCACCTAAGCAAGAGTGCTCATTCCTGAATTCATGTTCTGGTCATTATAGGGACAGTACTCTTAAATAGCATGAAAAGTACTGCTGATCTTGTCTTGCTAGATAGCCCGTACAGAAGGAAGAGAATAAGACTTACTGGTTTTGGTGGTGATCATCTGTTCTGAGCTGCTTGCACCACAGACCCATTCTGAGGTACAATACATAGTATTCTACTGACATTCTGAAGCAAATGTTCATCAGAATGAAATATTATATTATGTTTCATTATTATATTTTTAATATAGGATAGTATACTATACTAATAGTTTTGTTTGAGACAATGCTCTAGTTATCACAAAACAGGGAGAAACCTAGCCTCAATTAGGGCTCCTAATCCCTGCTTCACCCTGCCTGGCCCCTTGGACAGGTCAAGAACTGGTGCTGGCTGACTGGGGTCGCACTCAGATAACAACAAACAATTGCCCGTTGGGTCTCAAGTGAAAGCATCCTTCTGGCCAGTGTTAACAAGGACCTATGTCAGCTCATAATCACAGATGTAGTTACAACATATATTAAGCATTCATATTTCCACTTCAGCACAAAGAACAATTACTGGACTTTACCCAGTGACAAGGTCAGAGCTGAAACAACAGGACCACCATCTAAGGCAACAACAGACAGAAGGGCTTTCTCATTATAAAGGCCTTATAGGATTATTTGGCAAGTTTTATGTGTACAGCAGAAAACTGTAGGGAAGATGCCAGCAGGCAGAAGGAAACAGTTTGGTTCAAGAAGCAGGAAAGAGTAAGTGGGCTCCCCAGGGAACAAAATTATGTGGGTGTAGTGAACCATCTACTGAGGCTTGTTCTCCTGTGTTGAGAGAAGCAGGACATTTGTTTGATCTCGACACTTACTGCTGTTCCCCTATCTCTATCTATGACTGATCACACTTGTGTAGATACTGAGCTCACAAGTGTCTACAAAAGAGAAAAGGAACTAAATTTCAATGTTTCTGTTCTCTGCAGACTGAATCTACTCTTGCCTTCATTTGTCTATCTTCACTTGCATAATCAATTTGTCTTTTCAGTTCAGATTATCCTCAATTTGTGAAAGGAGCTGTCAGAGGCATAAGTACCATGGCTGCTCATATCACCCTGCCAATAATTATAGATCTGGATTGATTTCTGTGAATTGTGTGTCTTGGGCAAAAGTGAAAAGAAATAAACTAGAAGTATTATATTAGCCGAGACCACAGATTTTGAATGAAGCTGGTTGGTGCAGTAATTTAGATTCACATTCATTAAAAATAGCTGTCAAAGTCTTATGTCAATCTGTTAGCACAATGTTCAATTTGTCTTTCTCCTCAGCAAGGTTGCTTGGAAACAGGGAAATAGTTGGAGAAATCCGTTTGTGAAAGTGTGGTAATACTTGAGAAATCAATACACCCACTTTGGTTTTATTCAAAGATTTATAATCTCTGAGATAAAAAACCCAACAAAACAAACAAACAAACCTATTTCTAATAATTTTAAACAGATCTGGTGCAACTAGCAACTTGCAGATGGGTCTTTGTTAAACACACAGTGATCTGTCACTTTCACAGTTGTGGTGCACACTGGTATCTCTCTCCTGGTGCAAGTAACAATCAAAATCAAGGCAGAGTTTCTCTTGCAACACGTAAACTTAAGACTGAGGCCTTAGACTGGCTTCACAGAGAGAAATTAAAGCAAATTATTTTTAGAAGCAGAACCATGAAATTGCAGCATGAAGGGCAATAAGAGCATGGAAATATCTGTCCCTGGAAGACAAACAGAAGTCTCTTGGTCAGAGTAGCTCATTTAAATAATGCTACTGAAGACATAAACATCTAGATTTGTTGTCAGCTCATATACTGTTTCATGTCATGCACGATAAGGGTAAGGAGGCAAGAACAGGCAGGAACAGAGAGATGTCTGGGTCAGTTATATTAATTGGCCAAGGGAAGAAATGGACACGCAAGATTTTTCAGAAATACAGTTCCAAACTGTGAGTCTCTCATTTGACTGCGCTGAACTCTGTGCTGATGAATAATGGTCTTCAGGGAACACTTACAAAACATGAGCATCAGGCACTACAAAGAGCTTTTTGAGATAAACAGCTAGGTTGCAGGATTTCTTTTAATGCAGGGGATTTAACGAACTTTTAATTTTTTTCTTTATTGGATTATACAGAGGTTTAAGAACCCAATACAATCTTAATTATGTGAAAAAAAAATCACAAAGGCTATTCCCCTGAAGTTCTTGGGACACATGTGTGGGTTGAACACACTGCTTGATCAGGCTCCATGACTCTTTGCCAGCCACAGCTGAACCTGCTCCACATCACTCTCCACTCCCCGCAGTTGTGCTCCTCTATTTTCCACATTTCTCAGCATCTTGCCTTCATAGGCACTAGACAAAAATGCAGAACTGAGTATGCTCAATACTAAGTCATGAATGCAACAGAGGCGGCTGGAAAATGTTTCACTGTGGTCAGTTGCAACATTGTCCAGTCAGAACTTTAGGCAGATGCAGGTTAAACCAAAAAGAGTAGGAGTAGGAGAAGACAGTGCCTGCTGGAAGAGCAGGGTGAACAGTTTATGTTGAATAATTAATATGATACGCTTCACTATCCTCATTCTTTATAGATTGTCTGACAGCAGGCTTATTGTTTTCCTGTTAATTTTCTGAGGGAAAAAAAGATCCAGGTTGGTTTCTGCCAGTGAGGTTGTTTGCCATCAGTGGGGACAGAGTGAGCATTCACTATGCAGACTGATCAGCTGCACTGGTTACTTTTGACCATAAAAACATACCTGTTTTCTGTCACCTTACACGGAGAGTGACATTCTTCAAAGACTGGTCCTGCTGCAATTGAATTTTCTCCAGGATCCCCATTGACTTGAATGATATGAAATAATATCCTGCAGTCATATGCTCAAATCAAATCACTGCAGCACAGGTACTCACACTGAAAATAAAAACAAAGCCTCAGAGGAGTTTATAATCCACATGCATGAATTTTCCTGTCCAAAAGGTTACATATACATGGAGGACATGATAACAAAATGCATAGGTCAATTCCTCTTCTTTGTTAGATCTGAGTATGAGAAGTATAATTCACTTGTAGCCAATGGTTGTTTTACATTCATATATTTAACAGCAAAATTTGACACAAGGCAGGAAGGCCAAGAACCAATAACAAACCACCTTTCAGGTTTTGTGGCCTTCAGCTAAGCTAAAATGATTCAAATAATACAACATGCAATTTCAATAACCCTACAGGGATGCTGTTCATGAGCAAATGCAAATTATGGTGAATTTATGCATCTCTGGAGATTTACTCAAAGAGAATACAGAGATGATTGCCTTTGGTATGAATGAAAGCTGCAGTACTCACTGTGCTATACCCACTGTGCTATACTTAGCTTCTGTGAGCAAGACATGAAGAATGATGGCAACAGAAAGAATTGTTCTCAGGAGGGTTCCAAAAGAGTTGCTTCATGGGTGAATGCTCGTCAGAGAAGCTGGGGTATCTTCAGGGCAACTTGTCTCTATCACGTTCATCCCACAAGCATAAAGTATTGACCCGTACAACCCTATGGATGTAGGCCAAGGATTTTGGCAGTCTTTCAGTATAGGTTCTGACTGTACACAGTTTTCAAGAGCATTTAATTCATGGAGAAAATTCAGCAGCTCTAATATGGACACGAGCATATGGACTTAGATGAATGTAGCCTCTTCACTAGTGATGCATATGTTCACATGCTAAGGTGTCCAGGGATACAGGGTAAATTTAAAGCACAGGCAGGACAAGAAACAGTCATCAGGAAGTGATTATCAAGTCAAGAAAACACATGGATTAGAATGTGGGATTTTTTTCAGGCAAAATAACTTTAATTGTACTTTATTTACAAATTGCCAAAGTGAGGATCACTCTGGGCCTCTTTTTTAATCGGGTGTAATACTCCTAATACTTTAGGAGGTTGGGGTGTGTGTGGTGTGTGTGAATTACAGTCTCAGTCACCTGAGTTCCACCTCACTCCTAATCAGCTATCACCTCTTATGACCACTCTTTATAGTCTGCTTTGTTGCTCAAGGCTGGTGGGAGGGTGTGCTGTAGTTTACTCCCTGAAAGGTTCCATTCACCTCTCCAGAGTGTTATTACACTTGAAAACAGAGCAGTGCTAATTAATTTGAGACAGAGAAGTGACTACAAAGTAAAAGAATTTCTTTTCCGAAGTGCCTTGTCTTTGTTGTGATCCACAAGATGGTCTCCCACAAAAGGGGCCTTTCAGAGGGGCACTCCAACTGTTCAAGCGGAGGGCTTTATTCAGAGGGATCTTTAATTAGCAGCTGTAAAGAAATGGTGGTGTGGAAAGTTGCATAGAATACACTTGGGGTTATGATACTGAAGGCAAAGGAGGAACTTGAACACTAAGGCAAGATAACAGAAGAGGGATACGAGTAGGAAATTACAGATGAGTTTTCAAGATGACTTGATTGAGCCATTCACTGAAACTGATCTTTATACAACCTGCTTGACATTTCTAGCCCAGGCATTGGAAGTCGTGTGTTAAAAGGAAATTGTATTTCCAGGTATTTGTTAAGTGCAAGAGGTGCTTTGCTAATGGTTAAGAGATGCCAAACTTTACTAGCAATGTTAAGTTCAGGAGTCATAATTCGTTAAGTTTGCAACTCAGATATGCGTACATATATATATATATGTACAGAGTCTAAAACTCCCCAGGAAAAAAAAATCTTAGACGAGTTTCACAGACTTATTAGCCCTCCTTCCTTAGATACCAAAGAACAGCTAGCCACTGCATTGAGAGTTGGCCAAGTTAATGAAAAATTGCTTGTCAATATGAGGAAGCCCCATTAAAAAAATCCATTTACCTCAGGAGCTTGGGGGGGGGGGCCCTCTGCCGCACTGCGCTTCACAGATCTCTCCAAACATAACTGTACACATTGCTGTATTACAACAAATATGCAGAAACATATGTTCAGTTTTGAGTTGTCCATTTCATGGAAAGACAAAAAGGTAAATAGCATCTGGCTACATTTGTACATTTTTTTTTCTCTCTTGAAACTGAACAGTACTGATCTTGTTCTGATCTTGAACTAGGAGTTCAAAGGAGATCTAGAAAATAAGCTAGAGAGTCATTTACATGGAGAAATTCAGAAAGCTGCTACTTCCCTGTGCTCTTCCCCCTGGTGACTGTTTTATTAAGAAACGGCAAAACCTGAAGGGAACGGCAAAGATGACAGCAGCACTTGGGAAGAGCGTGCTGCCCTCCTCAGGCAACCTGCCTTGAGGAGCTCACTGCTGCTTTGAGACCAGCCACTAACTCAGGAGAGGTTCCACTGCAAGAAATAACTCTATTTAATTTTAACAACCATGGCACAACGCGGGAACAAAAAGCCGGCCATCACAGCCGGTGACGCTTCCGCTCTCCCTGTGAGGGCGAGGGCGCGGCGGCGGCGGCTTTTCTCAGCACCTCAAGGGCCTTAGAATGGCGACGGGCGAGCCGCGAGGAGGGTGAGAGTTGTCCTTGCATGGGCGCCCACGGGCCCTCCCGACAGGGATGTAGACTGCGTTGACGTGAAGGGGGGAGCTGAGGCCGTGCTGTGTAGCTGCCAAGCACCTACCTCCCTGCGGAGGGGCGCGAAGGGGGGAGAGCAGGGGCATGCGGCCGTTGCAGCCTTCCCTCCCTCTCCACCCGGAGCAGCGGGTGGCAGAGCCAGCTGGGGAATCTCGTTTGTGTCGGGGAAAGGCGCAGCCGAGAGAATAGTTATTAACAATTTCAACAAAGTACCGGCTAAGAATAGGTGACCGAGTTTGGCCTGGCCTCTAAAAAAGACGTGTGCTCTCAAACTGCTCCCTTGGCAGTGGTGGGGGCCGTGCACCGCCTTTGCACTGTAGTGCTTCTTGGAGCAGAAAGAAGTCCGCTCTATTCTAGTGTAAAAGATGCTGCCTTCAGGTTTTCCTGTAAGTTGAGCCTTGTATTTACACTTTGGAAATAGTCAACAGACCAGGTGGCAGAATTATCTGCTTGACTGATAAAAATGCTAACCTTGATGAGAGTTATTCATGTTCCATGCATCCACTCAGTCAAAGAAAGGCATATTGTCTCTAATATAATGCCCAAGCTTTCAGATACATAACAGCAGGAGAGATGCTTATGTGTTGGATGCTTTTGTATTGGAGGAGCAGAGACAAGCTGAAATAGAGGTGGCCACTCTCGTCCAGACCAAAACTAGACTCAAACATGGTTTGGAGTGTTTTGTTTGTTTGTTTGTTTTCTTATTTCCTTCAGATTTACAGACAGAAACTAATATGCCACATATAACCTAGTGATACAACGGCTTTTCCTTCCTTTTTATCTATGATTTTGGGACCCCAGAAGGTAACTGCTCCTCAAATGATATGACTATACCTTGCACTTGATAACAGGAATTTTGAGATCCTCAAGAACCCTTATTTTTGCCCTAGTTTCTCAAAGGACTTGAACTGCTCTGGTGACCAGCAACACGACCTAAGGGAATAGCATGAAGCTGCGTCAGAGGAGATTTAGACTGGATAGTAGAAAAAGGTTCTACACCCAGAGCATGGCTGGTAACTCCCCAGGGAAGTGGTCACAGCACCAAGCCTGATGGAGTACAAGAAGCATTTGGACAATGCTTTTGGGTACATGGTGTGACTCTTGTGACTGTCCTGTGTAGGGCCAGGAGTTGGACTCGATGATCCTTGTGAGTCCCTTCCAACTCAGGATATTCTGTGATGCTACGAACTTGAGTTTTGCATGGCACAAGTGGTAAGATTTATGTGCAAAAGCACGGCCTTGTAATGCCTGTAACCATCCCCCTTTTTAATGTGTGAAAGGCTCCGTGGGATTCACAAGGACTGCAGAAGGCCAGCATGCAGTCCTGCAGTGATCTGCCGCACCGCCACTTGGTGTGTGGACTCACCACTTGAAGCTGCTGTAGCTGGAGATGGCAAAGTAGGAAATATTTCTTATATCCCACTGAGCTCCATCAGGGGTTACTGGCTGACATCTGCAGCTCAACTCAATATTGAGTTGACAGCTGACTGTCAGGCTGAAGTGTCCAATGTGGGGGACAGTCAGTGTGCATGGAAAATTTTGTAGTTGCTCATGTTGCAGTTTCTTCTCCCGGCCTCAGCCCTGATTTCTTCCCAGAGCAGGAAGCAAAGCTCCTTCTAGGCCATTTTTGCAGACTCAAGGAATTAAGTTGAAGATTAGCTAAAGTATTTAAATTATAGTACTTTGATCTACAATCTCGTGGATTGTGCTGCAGCTACCACTAATGAGAGCTACAAGTGTAAATCTAGGATGTGATTCAGAGAGTCAAGTTCTCATTTTGGTGCAGTGTATAGCATCTGTTATGAATTCAGCACATGCAACCTCTCTCACTGATACTAAGTTATGTGAACGACTAGAAGGCGTGCCACATACATGAACTAAGCAAGCCAATTTATATTCTCAATTATACTACTGTAAAGGTAAGGTACTTCATTAAATTCTAGTGGTGCCAGGTTTATACCACTGATACAGTAATTTAGTCTAATTTAAGAATATATTTAAAAATGTATTTGTATTTTTCTTTAGTGTGATTGGTCTGAGGCTTGGGAAGCCAACTTGTGAGTTTACAGAACATTCACTGTTAATCCACAGAGTGGTGCTGTTGGTGTATTCTGGATGTACTGCAGCAGAATATAGAAATGTCTTAAGACTGTTTAATTTAGCTAGATTTTTGTCCAGGTGGCATTGTAACTAAGGACAGAATTTAAACAAAATACTTTACTTCTCTATGTACTCAGTCTCTCTGAAAAATAAGGGTTCTTTTCTAATTGCAATTCCATGTATCCAGATCAGTTTTTGTTTTTTTTCCACCACGCTTATGTCATATTATTGTTGTTTATAAGTGAAGTTAGTGTTCTTCGACACAGTGCAGGACTGGAGAGGTCTGTCTGTCCTTGTCATGTCTTTTGTCGCTCAGTGTATGAAATGACGTGACCTGAGGGTTTTAGATGACAGCTGGGGACTCTGCAGTCTGGAAAGGCTTCCTTCAGTGTGAGGTTCTGCATGCAGGGAAGCCAAGTGCAGAAGCCAGGGTAACACCTCTTGCTCGCCAAGGTTGTGTGTGATAGTCATTGCTGTTCTCCATTCTCTACTTCCTGACTGTGCAGAAACAACACAGTTGATACTGGGTCAAATTCCTCTACATATGCCACCACATGCTCTTACCTAAATTCTGCCATGACAGTGTAACTCTCTGAGAATAAGAGAATATTTTGATTCTGATGCCCTTAAACTCCTGGCTTTTCTGAGGTGATTGCCAATGAATTCTGTTTATACCATTCTGTACCACCCTACTAAAATTACTCTTACTCCTTTAAAATTTACTGCTGTTTTGGTTATTCACAGAGTCACAGAATATGCTGAGTTGGAAGGGACCCATAAGGATCATCAAGTCCAACCCTTAGCCCTGCACAGGACCATCCTAAAAAGTCACACCATGTGCCTGAGGGTATCATCCAAACACGTCTTCAACTCTGTCACACTTGGTGCTGTGACCACTTCCCTGGGGAGCCTGTCCCAGTACCCAACCACCCCCTGGGTGTGGATCCTTTTTCTACTATCCAATGTAAGCCTCCCCTGACACAACTTCAGCCATTCCCTTGGGTACTGTCACTGGTTACCACGGAGAAGAGATCAGTGTCTGTCCCTTCTCTTCCCCTCACAAGGAACTTGTAGACTGCAGTGAGGTCTCCCTGCAGTCTCCTCTTCTCCAGGCTGAACAGACCAAGTGACCTCAGCTGCTTCTCATCTTCATTGCCCTCCTTTGGACACTCTCTAATGGCTTAATATCTTTCCTATATTGCAGTGCCCAAAACTGCACACAATATTCAAGGTGAGGCCGCACCAGTGCCAAGCAGAGCGGGACAATCCCCTCCCTCGACTGGCTGGTGGTGCCTCCCAGGACGCAGTTGGCCCTCCTGGCTGCCAGGGCACACAATGTGGAGAATTATGCTGCCTTTACCTGAATTGCTGATTTATCAGCTGCAAGTTCACAAGAATCAAGTTCTTTTTACCTTGTCAGATAAATCAGCACTTTCAAAAAACCCTTGATTTGTATTTACTCAATAAAACCTTTTTCAGAGCCCAGGGCTACATTTAGCCTAGAGATTTCAACTTGCAATGAGGGTGCTGCATCCTCTGTCACTTCTTTTCAGCTGCCCTGTATACCAGTACCAGGCCCACAAAATGGCAGACTGTGCTTACTTCCAAGATGAGCCTTGTTCAGTACTTGCTCTCACTGGGTATGTGGAGGGCCTCTTCCAGATTAGATACTAGAACAGGTAGTAAACTGGGGCAGGAAAGCTCTCACCACTATTGTTCAAAGGAGCATAAAGAGCTTGTTGAAGGACCATTTCCCCAGGTAGAAAATGGTTTCTGCCAGGACTTGAGAGTTGAATGTGGGATTTCCAATCTCTACCTTTCTTCATGGCCAGAAAACAACCTTGAAATACACAGGCAAAATATGTTTCGTATTTTCTTCCACTGGTTTATCTAGTTTAAGGTTAACAATTCACGTGCGTAATCAAGTGCTCTTTTAGCCCAGAATTAGAGTCTATATGGTCTGGTATTCTATTTTTGCAGCAAAAGAGCGAAGTTAATAACATTAAAAGAAATGTAACACTCCAAAGTTAAGCACTACAGATTTGTGATTCTTCCTCTTGCCTTATTTTCTGAAGAGAGCAGCTTTATTTATTGGATAGCTTTCCTACATTCCCAAACTCTCTGTCCTCTTCCCAGAATTTTGCAGAGGCTGTTTGGAAAAACAGAATGCACACATGTACTTTAAAAGAGCAGAATAGCATGTGCACAAAGGGGCCAAGTTTCAGCAACCTTAGTATTCTTAGCTTCTATCTGAAGTTTTATACTGCAGGGTGTTTGTTTTTCCTTAGTTTAATGTAGCTTGAGAGATAAAGAAGAGGTTGTAAGATTAACTGAAGAAAACCGAAGTAGTGATACAATATAATTATCATCCTATTTGAAGTGGAAGTAAAGGAAGTATCAGAGCTAAAGGAACAGTGAAATTTGAGCAGGTTTCTCCCTTTAAATATCC